TGTGTGTGTGTGTGTGTGTGTGTGTGTGTGTGTGTAGTGTAGTATATATATATATATATATATATATATATATATATATACGTGTATGTCGGAGTGTGGGTGGCCCTCGGTGTGTTCATTTTGGGGGAGTTAGCTTTGGCGGTGAGCTGGTGTGTTAGTGTGTGTGTCAAGTTATTTGCGTGTCTTTATTTTTTTATGTATGCTTGTCTTTTGGGGAGTCTCGCATATTTTGATGCAAATTGCTATTTGTAGCTATATTCCAATTGCATTCATTTATATCTGAAAATGTTGTTTTAATGACCTGTTTTTGTACTGTGCTTAAGGGTGCCGCTGCAGCATGTACATAGGCTCCTGTTCATTCTTCCACACATCCGTCTAAACAGCACGGTATTACGTTCATTCCGTTGGTGCAATCGTATTGACATATACCTCATAAGCCAATATATCTAACTAGCACAATCGATCGTTATATCATTGAGAGTCCAACTTTGCATTGGCCCTATAGCGTGTGCAAATCTCCACCAGCCCGGTGGCTTGTACTTAGTTCTTGGGGCCACACTAGAACTGCGCTGACAGCGAATCAATCCAACATTGCTACGCCGCTATCGCATTTTTTGCGTCTAAGAATGTATGACCTACATCGCTACCCATAATAGGAAGCTGCAAGAAACGGAGGAAGATGTCACAGGGAGAATCTACTGCTGGGGCCTCTCCTTTGCGTATTAGACTGCCATTCACGCCTGCAACTGGTCATAAGAGCGAAGATTTTTCCTCCGCAATACCCCACAGTATGTCCACGCCCGAGTGTTGTTGACTGCGCTGGCCTACTTACATTTGCGCATATACTTGACCAGTGCGATGTAACTGGCAAGGAGTGCACAATCGAGATAAAGTGCAAGTATATTGCTATTCCTGCCCATGTCTTCTGCACCGTGTTCTCTCGCTTTTATCTGCTTCTGTCGTCATAGTTCGACCTTTTGCCTTTATTCTTCTTTTTTGCGTTGCTTCATTTCAGCTGGGCTGAACGGTGCGACATCAGCGTCGTCGAGAGGGTCTGGGAAGAGTATAGCGAATGACTCTGGGAGCAGCAACAAGACTGGCGCCGAAGTCAAAAGGACTAAAAGCTCGCTGAGTACGCACAAAAATGGTGTGTCAGTTGGAACTTCAAATCATTCGCTCGCTGAAACCATACCTAACATAAACACATTTTAAAATGATTTCGAAGAAAAGGGACAGAAAGAAGGGTGCACTAGAAAGCAATTGTATAAACGACGAGACTTCATACCCCACTTCTATCTTACATACCGACATAAATGCAGGCACGAATGGAGGTGCCAGTGCTACCAAAGGAACCGTACTAGCCGGTACCGCTGATGCGTCGTTTGTTGGGTCGATCAAGTCAAGCCCTCAGTCCCAACGTATCAAACCCGAGCCTGCCACAACATCACTGGATAATGGGGGTGCCAAACAGCTGAGTTTGTCTCACACAGCAGGCAGTGGTGGTACAGGTGGACAGACTTCAACTGATACTTCGACCCGTGATGGAGATTGCCTACCGGGGAACGGAACGGCCGCTGCGATAACTAGCACGAACACAAGTAGTGTTGGTGGTCTGGGAACATCAGCTAGTTCGGACTTAAGTACGGCGCTAAGTACTGTGCCATTGGCGACTGCTTCCCCTGCTCCACCTACACCTGAGTCTACGACTAATACTACCGTGCCTACAAAAAGTGGGGGCAAGCGCAAGAAGCCGGCCAACAAACAAATAGGCGGGAAAGGTGGTGGAAAAGGCTCGGCAAACAAACAAATAGGCGGGAAGGGCGGTACAGGTAAGCAAGTAAGCGGAAAAGGGGGGGGCGAAGGGTCCTCTCAAAGCGGTGCGCAAGCGGGAAGTAAAAGCGCCGGGAAATGCTCGGGGAAGGGGAAGGAAGCAGAGATCATTGGTAGTACCCGTGACAGTATAGTGAGTTCCATAAGTGCTAGTACAATTCAGCGCCCCGTCTGCGACCGAGAGAGCTTTGTCATGGCAGCCGAAGCGTTTGGGCCAGTCGCAGACGCTGGTGGCAGATTCGTGAGTGTGCCGGTGAAGAATAGTCTGATCGATATACTCAAACCTGAGAAGCGTGTGACGACGAGTGAAGCCTCGTTGCTGGAAGCGTTGCACACAAAGGTGGGCTGTGCGTTTGTGCTTAGGGCTTTATTATACATAGCGCGTGCGTGCTCGTGGTGTTTCGTTCAAATTGATGGGAAGATGTTATATCTCATCTGTGTGGAATTATTCTGTCCTCTTCGGTGGTGCTTGCTCGTGGTGTTTCGTTCAAATTGATGGGAAGATGTTATATCTCATCTGTGTGGAATTATTCTGTCCTCTTCGGTGGTGCTTGCTCGTGTTTATACGCCAATGGCGGAATGTAGCTTAGACACTCAAACATATGAAAGGACGCGTTATACATGCGTGGTTGATGAGTTCCTGTGTGTAGTCCGTGAACATATTCTGTGTATGTCTTTGATAGATAGAAGCACATAGAAACGTATCCAAAAGAATATTTATTTGCAATACAAGTTAATTGGACGATATAACAACCGACACACGAATATTAATAGTACGTGCGAACCGGCTCAATACAAAGTGAACATGTGTATTCATCCAGAGATCGGTAAACATTTGGATCAAGTCCTCGATGAACTATTGCTTGTTCTCCCGTATAGACATGTGAATACGCGCATGGTATATGTATCTGCTATATACCCATTCTTATCTGTATCCTCGGCTAGATGTTTATAGTATTCAAATAAGTCGATGTTTGTTTGTATGTATATATGCTATTCTGTCTAAAAGTTCGTGGCTATGCGATGGCTATGTGAGATTCATACACAATCTAAACAAACATGACCTATCCCAATTCTTCAAATGGTACATCCATGTGTGCGTGTATGTTCATCCACTACCTGCCTCCATCAGTGACAATACACCTATCTATATGTGATTCGTAGATTTTCTGTGTTTTTTATTAGATTCTTCTTTGATCGTGCTCGAAAATGATACCCTTTATATTTCGTTATTGTTTCTTCTTGGCAGAATCTTATCCTTGAAATTATTCTAACATGATCACTCTTTTCCGCACATTTATCGATTCAGGATGGATTCGTCACACTCAGAGACTCGCTCCCAAAGCGCAGTCAAGCTTCAAAATTGGGACTTGATGAAGCAGATCCTACCACTACTAATTCTACACTAAACACCTCGACTCTACCGTCAGCTACGGTGTCCAAGAATGGTACATCGTCCACTTTGTCACTGAATGTGCCGCCCAAAGGCAACCCTGGTGATCCTTCAAATAAGCAACCGAGGCCACCGGATGCAACACCCATCCCTGGTAAAGGCACGAATGCGAACTCGGCAGTAATTAGTATAAGTAAAACAAAGAAGGAAGGTGAGCAGCCGAACGGCTCGGCAGACGAGATCACGCAACAGGAAGTGTTGGAAATGCTTACCAACAAAAGACATATACCCGCGCCATGGCAGGATCAGGCGGACGCGCAATTGGCTTACAAGTACGCGCAAATAACAGCAGCGGAGGGAAAGGTCACCGAACGGTTGGCTGGCAATCCACGATCGCTTGCGCCAGCCATTTCCGCGTTGGAGCGCGAGAGGGAGAGGGCAAGGCTGATGGAGCGGGATAGGAAACAAGCTATCCAGGATGAGAAAGATGAGCTTCTTTTGTGCACCGATACACTGGTCATACCGGGGAGGGGTAGCAAGGCTCTCATCAAGCGCATGCAGGCGATGGCTGTGCAGAATGGGCTGGCAGGCGGGTGCGATGATGCTGCATTCGGCGTTATGGCGGATGCTGTACGAACGCATCTGAAAACCATCATGCGGTCGTGTCTATCACTGAAGGTGAAGGCTATGAACGATATCGGCGTGAGTCGTATGGAGCGCCTGTACAGACCCGCGCGGTGTGCACGTGCGTTTACACGCAGCAGCTATGCGGAAAAGGGCGGGGCGACTGGTAGTATGGAGGACGTGAGTGCTGCGTTCAACAGCACAGATTTAGGTGGCACTTCTGGCCTGGGGGGTATCGGAGTGGATGATATGGGATTGTTAGGAAACATGTCAGACGTCGGTCTTGGGCTGGATCTTAGCGACGTGTCTATGGGCGGATTTGACATGGAAACCATAAACATGAGCCTTGGAATGGGTCTGGGCATGGGATTGGGTATGGGGATTGAGCCGAACGCAGGGTTGAATATAGGCGTCAGTAATATGGGACTTAGTAATATGGGGTTGGGGGATATGGGGACTTTCAACGGTGTTGGTATGGGGGTCGGATTGGGTGGAATAAACGCGTATGGCGGTGTGGATGTAGGACTAACCAATAATTTGTCGCATATGTCGAACACTGGCAGCTTGAGTGCCCTGGATGGTCTGGTGAGTATCCCGGGGCAAGGTCTGGGTGCGATGAATAATCCAAGTAATAGCAGTGGGGGTTCTGGTTTGCAAGTTGGTTTAGATGGGGGTTTCGTCGGCATGAACTTCTCGTCCGATTATATGAATACTAATATTCCCTTGTCCGCGAACGGTAGCAACGACACCATGTATATGTCTACTCTTGGCGACGGACAAATGGGTAATCTGAGGCTGAGTGACACAGCCAACACCAGTATGAGTGGTTTAAATACAAATTATGACTCGCCAGCTAGTTCGACCAGCCCTGTCCCGCCATCTAACATGCCTACTAAAAGCCCTCAGACCTCGCTGCTGAGCTTGGGCGGGGTGGGGGCATCGAACCTGGATACAATTAGAAATATGAGTGCGGCGATGCAGATGAACAGCACCAACATCAATCTGAGCACTTCACGGGACAACCGCGGTAAAGCGCTCAGACACGCCAGTACTCAGCCCTCGATCTTCGCGGATGGGTCTGCACTGGATGGCTTGACCTACGGTACCCCTTCTGCCGACACCAGCGGTGTCATTAGTCGGATGGGTAGTCTCAATCTGCAACGTAGTAATAGCATGTCGCTCTCTACCGCCATGCGCCTGAACCCTGGCAGTATAGGCAATACAGTGACAACACCTGCAGAGCGGGCCCTGTCGTCATTCGGCAGTGCCGGTGTGGGTGGGTTTGGACTTAGTGAGGGTCTGAGATTTGATAGCATTAAATCTGCGACCGGAACAGTCACATCTACTGGTGTAAATAATGCGGATGGCAACCTTAACACCACCGCAGGTGTTGGATTTCAGTCGCAGTCACCGATGCTGGATCTGGGAAGAATCAGTATGAGCGGTAGCACGAACCCTTCCACACTTGGCCTGGCATCTACAGCGGGGTATTTCCACTCCCCTAATCCACCCTCGCCCAACCAGTTTAAAAGCACAAACAGCATCGTCACCGGCAATGTGACATCGTTGAGCGTGAGTATGCCAGGTTCTAACCATGCCGACAATACAACACTGTTTTCTCCGACGCCCTCAAGTACATCAGCCAACAGTGGAGGCGCGGGTGTAATCAATAGTGGACTGGAGAAGAATGCCACGATGGGATATACGACCTCGTCCATAATAGCAGGAATTACACAGACTCCAACAAATACACCAAACAGTGAAGAGGCCAAGAACAATGATGATGAGAGAAATTCTGAAGGTTGGGGGCGTTTACAACCCGTCGGACCTATCTGCCTCGAAGATCTGCTGTCCACTTTCCAAGGTTGGTAAAACAATGTGCTCTGCGCAAAACAGGCTCGACATCAATTCCTTCAAAAAATGCTGTATCTTTATCACTTTGTTGCACCTCCAATCGCTAGGGTGTATAAGTTGATGTCTACCTATTTCTTCTATCGACCACTTACTATCCATCTGCTAACGTTCGAAGAGAAAAAAGTATCATGCGTAATTTTTCGAGCATCTAATTCGTGCCAATATATTTAATTCAATATGTTTATTTCATATCATACAGTATATCCGCATCTGCGTGGTGACAATCAATTGAGTTGCGAGCGACTTCTTTCACAGCTGTGGCAAGTATGATGGATGTCTAATCCATCAGCGCTCAAGACATCTACCTACATCATAGAACTCGGGCGGGAGCTTGCTCGCTGTCATACTACGGGACTACCGGCAGGCAAAATTGGAGATGCTCAGAACAATCAGAATACGAAGTGGCGATGGTCTCGCTTTTGTCCTACTAGTCGTCTGGACTTAGCTGTCGTATCTTCAACCCATATTTTCAAGGTGCTGTGATGAATGCCAACATGACCCTATTTTCATTAGATCCGCAGACACGCTGAAGGTTCTCCCTGAAATCGCATAGCGCTGTTGCACTTGCAAATGCCTGCTAGACAAAGTAGTGAAACATCGTTCGCGCAACCGCTTTAAACTCATACCATATACCTTTTTGAATCGATGGCATAACTTTACGAACCAGTCGTCGCTTTACGATACTTTAAAGTTGCGAATGTGCATCCAGTGCAAAATCTGCTCAAAGATGCTGCACCGACAGTCGCATGGCGTGTGGCAAGCAGTATACTATTATATTGACAACTAAATAAAAACTGACAGCAAATGCATTATTGGATAGTATATGTGTACGACGCAGAGTATACATAGACCTATGAATCACGCAATTTGCTAATAATCTAGCAGCAATAACTCTTCTGTCTGCGTATCTTGCGACACTACCAAAATGAAAGAGCGTTTGCTGAGACGATAGAAGGTTTACGGTACTCTGAAATTATGAACCTGCTTCAAAGTATGATTACTTCGCAAAGCTTAACAACCACTTATCGTGTAGTCTGGTATGCAAATGATACTGACAATAGGGAGAAAGACGCAAATAAAATAAAATATCAATCCATACAAGTGCATCGATATGTTAATGATATATATTTTAATATTTAATTCACACAGCTTGCTGTTACTGCTATTCTTGTAGCAGTGGCTGTCCGGTCTGCTTATTCTGCAGTATTTCAATAATGTCAATTCATCACACCGTGAATGGCGGATATTATTATTCAAAAGCACGGTTGAAAGACGCACTGTCCTTGTGTTGCACTTAAATCCTGTACTCATCCACTGCATTGGAAGCGGTTCTGATTTAAAAAGCCGACAGGGCTTCAGGTAGAGAAGTATACGATGTTCCGGCGCGTTTACGCTTACCGGCTGATTGTCCGCTCGAATTACTGGAATCCGAGTCACCTGAAGAAAAGTCCTCCTCGTCGTATATCGAGAACAAGGGGGATCGCTCGCTGCGGTAGCACACAGACTTAGGGTCGATCCAAATAGTAATGTCGGTAGGTAAAAGATTCTGTAGTCTAATTATACTGACGCCGATTGATCTGGCGGTATTTGCTAAGCTGGGATCCATTTGCCCTCGTTCTATACGCAAACACCTGTTGCCACTACCTCTGTGTGGTTGATCTACAAACCACGTGCTTCTAAAATTATGTACCAGCATGCCGCTCAGTGTATGTTCAAATCTCATGACGATATCATCTGAAAGTCCTTTTTGACGTAAGAGATCACCGATAAACATTACGGCGTAGTTAACTTCTTCGATCATGGTTGATTAGTATTTTTAAAAAACCGATATTCCTGCGGAATACGCTGCTTTAAAGATATATTTTAATTGTCAGAATGTATGTGCGCTCTTCGGGTTTGCGTCCAGTATTTATGTATATAATATATACTTATGGTAATGATATATATAAAATACACGCCTTATGGTTATTCACCTATGGGCTATGAATGGCCTTATAAAAAATGGGACTTTGGCCTTCTATTCCCAAAAGTAAAAATAAAGAAGGTCTGAAAATATGAAAATATGCGCAAGTTTGTGTCAAGGGCTCAAGGCGCAAGAGTCAAGACTGAGCCAGCGAAGGGCTCGAAATATCTCATCCCGAAGATGGGATACGATATTTTGTTAATCTGATTGGCTGGTGAATAAACCGTGCTTCAATCGCCTTGCGCTTGAGGTTAGCCACCAATAGGGAAGATTTCATCCAGAGGTATTTGTAAATTGCCGTTAATTTTGGAGCTGACTAGAATTGCATAGTTGCTCTTAATAATATCGCGCTAAAAGCTGAGCCGGTCGAGTGGCGAGTGGCCCACTGCCCGAGTCGGAACTCGGCACCCAAGAGTATCGGACTCTTTAAGAGTCTGTGCTCTGTCAGGTTACTGTGATGGGCTCAGGGCTGGTCTCTGTGAGACTGTGAGTCTGTGACTGTGACTGTGTGAGTGTATGAGACTGAGTCTGTGTCTCTGTGACTGTTGGTCTCTCAGAGACTGATGAGAGTTTAGACTTTTAGTTCAGTTATAAATCACTACTAACTAACAATCACTAATTCATCGTTGACTACACCAGATCCAGTATACCCAGTTAAAATAGTTCATTACCCCCTCACGGCCTTACCCAACCCCCCCCCCCTCCAGCCCCTCCCCTGTGCGCGTAGTGCCGAGGCCTGAGTGCAGTGTGTAGAGAATAGAGAACAGCCAGAGACTGACGTCTGACAGTCCAAATACAACTCTACAGTCTAAGCTCTACAGTCTACACTACACTACAGTCTACACTCTACAGTCTACACTCTACACTACAGTTATCACTACACTACAGTCTACATTCGCTACAACAGTCTATTGTATATATATTTTTAAACAATAGCCTTATGAAATCTGAATTATAACCCTTTTTTTTTAAATAACATTATATGGTAGAAGGCTTATTTTTCTAAAACAAACAAACAAAAAACAAGCTCTGTCGACTGTCTCACAGACTCTCACTCTCTGGACTTTGGACTCTGGACTCTGGAATGAGAATCAGAGGTTCTGCGGCTTGAGCTTCAGTATTTATTTATTATTTAAAAATGTAGTCTGAGGACCTTTTTTTTCAATTTTTGGGAGTAGTTTAATATTATAAATATTGATGAAATACTGATTGTGGCAAAAATAGATTTTTATTTTCAGAAAAACGTTAAACTCTCGGACTAAATAACCGAACGACGAACGTTTACTCATATAGCTACTCTAGTCGAGTCTACTAGATATCAATACTTTTTATGTTTAAAAACAATTAAACGTTTATATTGGTTTGATCCTGTTTATTTTGATATGGGCGTACAATTTAGGGTTTTGGGTCCGAAACATCGGATTTATTTCATGATATTGTTCGATTGTTTCTGTCTGTTCCACCTAAATATAATATATTTGTTCTAAACTTCCACCTACATTCTTGAAATACTATTGTACGTTTACGCTCAACGTATATTGAAATACCCTTAACCCAAACGTAATGATGTTCTCTTCGGAGTCGGGAGTCGGGACTCTGAAGCCTTGCCATCTAAAAAAAAATACTCTTTTTTTTTCCTGATTTTTTCAAATCTGGGGGTTGTTTCTTCTTTTGTAAATGCACCCAAAACATACCCTGCGGGGTTGTAGTCCTGTACCCCAGGCCCAGGGGCGGCTGTGGCGGGGTGGCCTGTGCGGCCTATGCGCCTGTGCTTTGTGCCTTGTGCCTTGTGCCTTGTGCCCTGTGCCCTGCTGTCGCACAACTTTGAGAAGTCAGACAGTTGTCACTGTGCCGCAACTTGCAAGCCGCAAGTATTCGCAACAGCGGCAACACCTTTCTGTACTTCTGTTCCTTTCTATGGAGTCATAGACTCAACTCTAGTACAGAGTGTATTTCTGCCCAGATGCCTAATTTCGCATAACGCATTTTATTACGTAGCATAGTACTCTAATAATATTCTGACTATCACGAATACACCCACAGGACAAAGGTGCGTAATTGCGTATGCTGTATACCTGTTTGCAACCACTTTATGTTTGTATAATTTTTCCTGCCGTGCTCATTTATTAGTACGAACCCCACTAAATCTTATTAGAGTATTCACTACTACGAGTCTCGAGAGATCTTTGATAATGTATAGTTCTTCATTACATTGCATTTCGTGATATTTACCTGCATTTTTTATAAAGTAGCTTTTCTTGCAAATATACACAATTAGCAAACCGGCGATGTCGATTGCAATGTCCAAGTTCAAGTGTCGCTTGATTCCAGTGTCGTTTGATTCCTCTTTTGGGTACCACTATTGCACTATATTTTGAGCCGCAGTCGTACGAGTTTCCTTTAGCCTTGTATGACCGACAACATGACTGTCGGTGCACACGGAATGAGTCGCTTTGACGCTTTCAGCGCTTTCCAACCATGCAACGAATTTATTTTTACCATATAAATACTCCCTCTGCACCTAAATACTCCCTCTGCACTGTGACCTCTCCATCGATTTTTACAGTAATATACTCACCAGTTCTCGAAAGCGACTGCGTTTAGATTATTGCTTGGTGTCAGTCGTCGTCCCCTGAGTTTATGATGCGTGTATATATTTGAGCAAGATTTCACGAGTGCTTGTTCCATGCTGATAAATACCGTACAATTACTTTCTTCAATATGGCATTGTGTCTCATGAATGTCTACACCTTGAAATATGCATATCGACAATTTTATAAGCGGTCTGTATGCGCATTGCAGTCAGATTGCAGTCAGATATTGTTGAGACGTAGTTTAAAGTACCTTCGTTTTAGGCGACAGCGTTGGTACATTCAGCTGTCCAAACCTCCACTTGCTGCCCGCTGCAGAATCCTGATATTAACGCATATGGAGGAAAAGCAATCGTCTAAATCATGGCCAGACAACAACTTTCTAGTCCTCATTTCCATCGTAAAATGTACTATACCGGACACAGTGCCTCTGCTCAAGTTGTATGTGACGTAAAATCTATGTGGCGCAATCTCGTTGGCACAGACAGTTCGATCGTGCATATGTATGAACTTGACGTACGGAAGAACGGAAGGTTACACGCTCTGGAGCAGTCACTTGTATAGAGTGAGGGATATCACTTTACTCGTTAGTATTTACAATATGAAAACATGGCTGGAAATTATTGAATCTAACCTACAGAGCAATTGTATATGGATATGACGGAAACAAAATTAATCTCCATACCTTGAGAGAAACCCCTAGACTGGGCAGGACCTCGTTCCGCAATCCGTCGCAACTGGTTAAGATGCTTTTGAGCACTGTCAACATCTCTTCTGTTAACTTCTCTTTCGTTGTTTCGTCGGTTCTACTATTTTTCTTGATGCTTTTGAGTGCGCTTAGTGCCTTGTCACGTACATTGGAACGAAAGTCGACGAAGTGATCTACAACCTCCTCCGTTGAGACCCTCGATTGGTTTACACTCGCTGTGAACATAGAAGAATTAAAAGCGTTTCAGCTAGAGTTTGCAAAACTCAGTTGCTGTATTGGAATGTAGACCTGTGTATCAAGTGGAACTCGGAAACATGTCAGAAGTAATAGTAGGCCCAACCAGTCTGCAACATTCACATACAATCGATATTCCGAGTTTGTTGCATCTGCACGCCCATCATGGATAGTATGGAGTCTATGTAGTCACGCACAGCCAGAACACTCGCGGTCGCCGCCTGAGTCCGGTCGGCGCTCATGTGCTTATTTGTGGTTGTGACCATATCCAATAGCTGCAAAGAGAATGAAAACGAAACAATATTAGCACATTACATAAGTCAAATAAATAGCTGACGCAGCTACAGAAATAAGCGCCCGGTTGGGAAGTACACAATACGAATCACACTGGGGCATATCATACAGACGCGTCGTATAGCTTCTGTTGGTCGCACTAAAAAACAGCGACCCTACCCGGTGCATGGTGCCCGGCGTGTCGAAATCATCTCGTAGCTTGTCGTCAATCGTGAATCTTATGCTCTCTAGCCTGCAGATTTTGGTATTAAATAGAAGTATACAATACCAAAGCAGCGAATGTGAATGGTTTCACGAAAGTCGAGCACTCAGGGGTATAACAAGTACGCGAAATGTTGTCAAGGATGGTTTAAGCAGCAAGCGGAATCGTATTTCAAATAGTTGTATGTGTCCTTATTCTCTAGTTTGTGATGTACAACAGTGCGTAGATAGTGTACCGCGTAGTAGTAACGCATAAGTAGTCCGAAACGAACATACACCTTAGAGCCGTAGAGTAAGTTAAACACAACGAGCAGACAGGCATATTCAGCAGGGTTACGTGCAAAAAATATCATTTTTCTGCGACAGCAAATTTTTATCATTCGCTCAGAGCACGGCACAATTTGAGTCGACAGTACGTTATTAGCTACGATCACACATACTCTTTCATCAGCTGTGTGTCTGCTGCACTCCACTTCGAACTCGAATTCTTTGCATGGAACTCATCCGCATCGGAGAAGAACGTACGGAACCGGTTTTCAATGTTGAGGGCCTGTGTCATTCTTAATGTGTCATGAATATGCAAACAGGAAGACATGAAGTGAAAATCCCCGAAACAGTTCTTCAGGATTGCATAATGTATATATGTCTACCTTCAGTATTTCGAGCTGAAATCAAGTACAGAAGCAACTCCTACTCGATAACCAACTATTAAAGCAATTCAAAATTTGAGTCCGAAACCAACGATGGAGTTCATGCACACATACAGATTATCAGAATAGTGCATAGGCGCGTTGTACTTTGTCATCAGACATGCCAGTCGCAATTGCTGGGGCGCGAAGATCATCTCGCCCTTGCGTGAGTCGATGTCAACTGCAGCAGGTGAGCTTAAATTATCTGAATCATCTTTAATCCCGAGGAAGTCTCTCACTGTAGTGAAGTTCTTCAGCGATTTGCTCATTTTGAGTCCCTCTATATGCAGATGCCCCGTATGAAGAAAGCACTGCGCCCATGTGTGATTGTGCAGCGCCTCGCATTGGGCGATCTCATTCTCGTGATGAGGAAACTGTGTGTATGGTAAGGATATTATTCCGGGTTAATGATTTAGCTATATGCTATTGTGGAAGTCGCTCGATTGCTGTGCTTTGACAAGCTCAATGGCTATGGTTCTGTGGGGGGCTAATAAGAATATACGACATTGATGTAATAGTGATGTTATTTGCCAATTCTTTTGTAGGCTCACAGCTTCAAAGTTCGTCCTTATAAGTGTGCGTATATATAACTCACTACGATAGATGTGAGTTAAGCACAACAACATGGTAAGATACTACGCTCGATGCAAAAAAGTTCTGCCACACGGATTCCCACAATTATCTCAATACTGCTCATGGTTGTAAACAAAGTTGGTGATCAACATTCTTCTGCGGAAACCTCATTCTACCTTCAAATCAATGCCACCAGTGTGTAGATCCAGGTGATCGCCCAGTATATGGCAGGACATCGCCGAACATTCTATATGCCAACCCGGTCTCCCAGATCCCCAAGGCGATTCCCAAGAGACGTCTCCAACAATCGAAACCCCGTCCGTGTTGTCAGCGGCTTTCCAAAGTGCAAAGTCCCGTGCATCTCGCTTATTCGCTTTGGTAGGCACGACTTCCTCGTCTGATGGTGAGAAAAGCGAGAGTACATTTTATCAAACATGTGTGATACTGTGGCAAAGAAGATAACTGTCATGGCCTGAAGCAATCACGCAGAAGCCCAAATGCACTCGTTCTGTCCGCAAGCAGTGTATCGATATTGCATACAAGATCGATGTAAAGTGGCATAAGTGGCAACAATAGCTTCATTACTCTCAAGTATCCAGTAGAATATACTCAGTGCTTCCACTATACCGATTAAATCGAAGGTGAAGGAATACAACCAAATAAACGTGCCCCATCAGAGCAGGCGAAAGTGTGCTGAAGTGATCCCTGTCATCTCACTGGAAACAAATCATTTGACAGCATGTAAAACGGGTTGAATGATTTTGAATTCGTCGGTACTTGAGACGGCATTATATATTACGCATGACCACACAAACACTGGTCAGACTTACCTACAACCTCTTTTTTGGTTGTCAAGTTATTTTGTGCCCGTTCCGGCGCTAAAGCCCCGTATCTGTCACCGTATTTGCCAACATCGAAGTATATGGAAACACGTTCCCTATCATCCGTTAGGCGGTAGGCATATCCTCTATCTTCCAGACCTACACTGAGAAGATAGTCGTTTGTGTAGAAATCAATCTTAGTAAAAGGAGTGTAACCTACAAATGAAATGCAGACAGGCCGAAACTATCAGAGGAGAACGATGTTGATTTAAACCACTGTATACCTCGACATTTATCATGAACTTAATTGGCATTTCACAAATCGGGAAGAGCTGATCGCCCATTTATCACCTGGCATTCCAGCCTGATTCTTGCACTATACGATCATACTAAGAGCGGTACACGACATACCCTTGATGAATGTGATTATTTCCGGTAAATGATCGGACACCCGTGCCGTACATGTAGGTGGCAAGCAACCCAGCAGTATTAAGTCTTCCAAGAACTCACGTTCGTAATTTTCGGCCAATGATTTAACAGAGATGCGTCTTTCCTCAGCACGAGTGATAATCTTGTCGTCAATATCCGTGATACCCATGACTGCAAGCATTAGTAAAATTGGAATGTTAAGTTATAATCAAGTTTGCCTATTGTAAAAAAAGGGGAGTATAAACGTGAAGAAGCCGGTGGGATTACACAAGCAAATTATATTCATCGAAATAGGCGTCTTTGATCTCCTCAAATAGCATATGTGTAGTTGTCTGATCCCAATAGACAATTGACGAGCGTGACCGAGCTGTGACCCACTTTCTAATAGGCTATTTAGAAAGCTAAGAAAATACAAGCTGGGTGGGATATCTGTAGCCCTGCGCCCACAAAGCCACAATAGTTCTCGATCAGGTGAATAGAATTCAGTATACTCAAGCGAGTTGGGTAGACGCGAATACAAAACTGGAGCATCAATTGTACCAAATAAGACAGGTGCATAGACTGCGGTACGCGACAGGATATTACATGGCAGTATCTACTTGCCTTGACATACAGGGACTCCACAGTAGTCACTTAGTATCCGACGGACCACATCGAATCTGATATAAGTAACAGCATGACCCAAGTGCATCGAGTCGTATACTGTTGGTCCGCACATATACCAACTGAGTGAACTATGAGCTTGTCGCGTGAGTGGCGTCTTAGTACGCGTACGGCTGTTGTAGACCACGCATCCAGTATCAACATATGTGACTTTATTAGCGCTATTATCCTCCAACGTGTCAGAACATATACTACTATCTACATATGCAACCTTCTTATCTGAACTACCTAGTGCGCTCGCTGGTTTTGTTGAGTGTAAACAGTTTGTCGAGTGGAGCTGTTTCCGGCACACTGAGCCTACTCTTCCATAATTATATGTATACGTTGGTCTTGGTGAATGCCAGCTTGGGAAGTTATTTGATATGGCGCTTACGTAACGGAAATCATAAATCGGCCGTGGTATTTCTCTACCCCTTATCGCCGTAGATAGACATCGCCGCCTGAACAATACCCTGTGACTAATCATACTAGCCTTTGGGCCATAAAAAGAACACGGTACGCATCGCAGCACCCCTTGTGTACCCATCATAACACACGTGTGTGGTCGTGAGGCACTATACTGATGAACCAAATGAGATGCACAAATGGGAACAGAACACCGTACTGTGCGTATTTATATTATTGCACTTTGCCAACAGCAGCCAACTTCTCTCTCTCTCTCTCGCTGTAGTAGTAGAGAGTAGTGAGACTAGAGAGGGTAGTGGTATACTTTGCCGGGATATAGGAAGAAAGTAGCGGGTCTTTACAAAAAGGCACATTTTCCACCCCCCCCCCCCCCCAAACCTGGCTCATTTTACAAAAACAACCCAATTTGACATCAGTAAACGTAAACAAGAAGTTTGCTGGACTCTTCAATCTTAAATAAAGAGACGCTCTTGGGTCTTGATACCCACATACATAAATATTTACATACTTCCCCTTCGAGTGTCAATAGTGGTCATACCACAGTACGTATATTACATATAATCTGGACAATATGGATGCCGCTTCGTATCTTAGTTCGAAGAACTACACACATAACATTGGTGTTAGATCCGGTCTTCCCGAGTCAAAGCAAGCGGGTGCCCCAAAACAGCACCATGGGTTCAGCCCTTATGTATTTAATGGAGGGTACGTAAATCTATTGGTGTGTCAGTGTTGGCTTGTGCTTCGTCGATTCTGAGGTCAAAGATTAAGAAATAATCAAACTGTGACTTCATTATAGGACACTAGGACTGTCTTATATTCAATGAATAGTACGTCTATCTGCTGGTGTGCTGGTGTCAGACTGTTCTTAGCTATTTCTAAGGTCACGGTGGAGATCTAGTCGAAAGTGTGCTTTTGTACAGGCTTTAGGTCTGTGACGAGTCTCTGACCGCAGTGCATGTGGATTGTTGGTGATGATCCACGCGCCTGCTCAGTCTAGACTATAATTATCTGAGCAGCATGTGTGCTTTGTAATACTCTCGTGACTTGGAGATCAGAGAGTTTTATAAATGAGGCATGCGCAACATATGCTACTATATACCTGCATCTACATGAAGAACATTGTCAAATCGCACGCTCATGCACCATAATAGTGCGCATGAAGTTTAAGTTACTTAGGACGATGTGAAAAGTAAGTACACATATATTTGTATGTTTACGATAAACAACACTAATTCATTTTGAATATCTCACTTTTGAGATATGTGGTGAAGTACGCGGAAGTCTGTGGGCTTGCAATTGGTGTATTAGAACATATAAATCATTTCATGTACTTATCGGTTTTCTATACTGTTGCTGTGGTGTTTTTACCATATTTCGAATAGTATATCACTCACAGCCTTTGGTGTATATTGCATAGTGTGGTTTTCTGGGTTTACTTAAAACTTTGAATATCTCGAGCACACGGAACGCTGAGTATCACCGTCTTTTTGTCTGTACGCGCCTGTGTTAGAGTGTACAAGCATAGTCTGTGGTTGTATATACTTCAGAAACCTGTCGGAACGAAAAAGAACAATAGTATCGTGTTGTTTGAAGTCTCGCTCTCTAGTGGTTTGTTTCTATTTTTTTTGGCAGCGCTAGTAACCATACGACTATATGTACTTAGTAACTCCTGTATTACCGGTAAGCACAACTATTGTAACGTGCGCCATCACTTTAGATAAAATCTTCGTTCTGTTTCTGAAGCAAATTCTGTAGGCTGGTAGAGCCTTGTCGAGCACGAAACAGTACCTCCCACCCGAGAGTTCCCGAGTCTCACTATCCATGGTCATTTTTGTTTTTGCTACAGGACTACCATGGCGATTGCCGGCGATGGATATGTCGTGGTAGCTGGAGACACGCGCTTAAGCGCTGGATATGAAATTATGACTAGGGACCACTCCAAACTCTGCAAATTGTAAGTAAGGCAGCCGAAACATACATTATTTAGAGTTCGCAATTGTGTGAATCTGGAGTTCTACGCTCGATTTATTAAAAACCTGTTCCCTGATCACCCTATGATTCGGTTGGCAAACAGGGCAGTGTCAAAGGAATATATCCCAACTAAATTATTCCATGTATTGGACGTTTTTTATCAAATGAATTCGTACGTCTATACCTTGTATTGTATGGCCGCTCCAAATCTGGCGAACGACGTTGAACCAGCTGTTCGTACATACATATATGAAAATGGGTTCTTACTGATTAATACTGTTTCGCCCCCTCGGTTTAAAAATAGAAATGACCGAGTGGTGCTGGCATCGATTGGATTTCAAGGAGATTCGACCACCCTGCACAAGCACTTAAAGATGAAGCTTGCGGTAGGTTGTTACAATATCAGGGTGTTTTTTTTCTTACCTCATAGTCTTGTAATAATCGTTTCGAGTTGAACTGATTTGATTGAGATCTGTTTGTTCCACTTTGGTCCGTCGTGCTTCATTAAGTCACACTTTCAATTGTACTCAACAGATGTACAAGCACAATCACGACAAGGACATGGGAGTCGAGGCCTGTGCTCAAATGTTGATGACAACACTATACTATAAACGATTCTTCCCGTATTATACAATCAATATCTTGGTCGGTCTGGATAAGGACGGTATGTACTCCTGCCTCGCGGTCTCATATCCACCCAATTATATGTGTTGTACGCTCTATTACATTCGTCGACAACCTCTGTGTCATTCATCAGTAACGTACAGTTTCTTTTCGTTTGTACCTCGGTACTTTCTTAGTTATGGCTCACCCTGAAGGTGTTTGACCTGCAATTAGTTTCTTTTCGTTTGTACCTCGGCACTTTCTTAGTCATGGCTCACCCTGAAGGTGTTTGACCTGCCATATATCCATTACGTGACAATACTCTGTCTCGCATAATCAGGTGCGTCAATCTAAGTTCAAGTTATATTCGGCTTTACTCGGACATCTTCTGGGGCTGTTACCCACGACCAGTTGGACGTGCTTAATTTCTGGAAAACGTTCGTAACTTTATATTCTGTTTTTAATTTAGATCAAGGAGCAGTGTACCATTACGATCCAATCGGTAGTTTCGAGAGGGAAACCTACCGTGCCGCTGGTACAGGTTCGCAATTGCTGCAACCATTGCTGGACAGTGAAGTTGGGTTCAAAAACAAGAGCGATGTTGTAGAGAAAAAGACACCTACTCTGGAGGAAGCGATCAATCTCTGCAAGGTACGCGAGTGGGTGAGCAAGTATATGTGTACTTTTTCGGGATGTATTGTAGCTCACAACTGTGCGTTATCTAGGTCGTTCGTTTGTCTGCGCCCATCATAATCCGCACCCGTCCGCACTTTTTGTATACAGAGTAGTGCTAAGGACTAGGCATCACAAAAGTTTTACCGATAGTCATACAGGTCCTGGAATAAACTGTATGCGTTGGAGAGTAGTTTGATTGTTCACTCAGCAGTTCAAATCAAACTTCGATCTTATTGCAGGACGCATTCGCCGGAGTAGCCGAGAGAGATATCTATACGGGAGATCGCGTGCAGATTTTGATTATCACGAAAGACGGCGTGAAAGAAGAGACATTTACAGTAAGTCGTACCGCGCTGATGTTCGTATTTTGCCCCGTGCCCGCCAAGCATCTTGTTTATGATTGTCATTGGGTCCCTGCGAAAGAAATGACATTTAGGTTTTAGGTTGTTTTACCCGTGATATGCATGTACGAACCTGATTACATAATTGCTTAGATTAGGTTGTGCGTCAAAAGTATTGATCTATCAATTAAGGGAAGCTTAACTCAATCTCGAATTCGTCAACTGCTGTGTACGCGTACATTAATGTTCGGTCTACAGTCGTTTGTGTGGCCGCATTTGTTAACCATGTCCGTACACACGCTCCACCATGTCACCACTTATTGCATTTGGTGTATACGCCCGCGTACTGATTTGACCGAGTCACTTTAATTTTTGTTTACTCTTTCATATTTGAATGGCTTACAACACAATATTTCATTGCACTCCATCTTCTAGCTGAGAAGAGATTAATATCGAAGCGACCCATATTTTCCCGAGCGGAGTTGATATTGTGTCAAGCGGTAACCAATATAGCTACATCTCATATAAAATTCGGAGATAGCGTATCTGCGGGAATATCCGAAGTCTTAAAATATTGTCTTAATTCACCGCCTATTGATTTACTCGTAATTTGAGCGCTAAAATACATACTTGTATGTATCTTATGTATAGCACTCATACTTGAATGTATATAATTATTATATGAATGAGTGCGTATATTTTTGTTTCATACATGGTGCGCGATGTTTCTATTTTTGGGTGAGTGTGCCTAATTCATACATGCGAATAATTTACACATGTGTGTATGGAAATATATATATTTACGCATGTGTATATATCTATGTTAATACATATACATTACATTATATATGCCCTCATATAGACCCATATATATATGTGTGTGTGTATGTGTTATGTATGTATGTATGTATATATATGTATTTATATATATATGTATTTATATATTTATATATATATGTATTTATATATATATATAGATATTTATTTGTATAGTTCACCTCCAAAAGTAGAAGCTCAGCTGTCCATAAACGATTTTTTACCGAACAAACTGGCGATCTTTCACCGTAAAATTGCATTCAGGACTTGTGAGGCTGTATTACAAAGCGTTTACCGTACTTATTAATTTTATATAGTGTAATATTGCAGTTTATTTGCTATATGTATCTTGAAAGTTGTATTGTCTCAAAGGCATCGATTATGCCGATCCGTGTGGGTGACGACTAGCATCAATTCGTCCAGACAGATAAATTGTACACGCATAAGCTATATCACTGTCAGCTGATTAATTATACATGTATGGAACTTCGAAATATGTCACTCTGTATGTAAATGCTATTACTAAATTCTCGGAAGTGCTTTCACAAACTTTGATGGTTGTGTGCTTCAAAATGTATCCGTTTCAATCCTTAATTCCTACACTAACCGATAATTCAAGTAGTAATTGAGATCTGCTGGTTAATAACGGGATAATCCATACACTATCATCTGATTGTAGCTGAATACTTTACCGTATTTGTACATGAGAAAAATTGCGTATTTCAGTTGGAACTAGTACGTGATACAATTACTGAACTACTTCGTGTATAATTGAACCTTTGAGTTCTTCTTGTACATATACTTGTCTGTAATTAGTATGAAACTGTCTTCACTGTGAGTAACTTGTTTAGTTCACGAACGGTTTAGTGAAATAGCGTTATACTTTATATTATCAAAGTAGTGTAGTAGCTTACAAGATTATGAGCAAGGTCATCCCATAACCTTGAGCTATATAGTTTCAACTAGATATTGCCTATCGTCAGTTCCCTCTGGTTACTGACACATCATCCCAACGAGTGCCCGGCCTCCTCGGTAGTCCGTCACTCGTCATCTATATTTTTTACACTACTTTACACTTCTCGCTACTTTACAGCCTATGCTCTCGTTCTATTGGTATACTTTTTACAGCCTCATCATATCTGTAAAACCAATATCACTAGACACCGCACTGGTATTCTACCATAAAACTAACCTCTCATAGATCTTAGTCATCCCACATGAATCACTACTACACGATATTCCTATGTTTGTTATTAGTATTCAATCATACGGATAGTCTATTTGTCTCTATTTAGTCAAATGACATACAATGTGAGTTCAAATGCTCTTCAAAATATGTGTATGTAGCTATACTAGTTCCTGAAATGTTTTATGTATTATCGTTAATAATCAACTATGTATACCTACAAAGCTGAGTCGAAGTGGTCCAAAATTAATCAAGTGACACTGGTTGAAACTGAAACAAATATAGGTGTAAACGTCGTGTTTCGCTATTAACCAATTTCTAAAAATAACGGCCAACCAATGATGATTTCAGTGTGCAAGTCATTACCTCACGACCAACAAAAGCAATTGCATGATAAGCAGCACTATTAAAGTACGTCGATGCAAGTAGCTAGATATTGGTTTCAGTGCTCCAACAAGGTGACTACTGCTGATACTCGAATTGAATCGTACAGCAAAGCAGGAGATGTTTGTATATGCCAAATCTACAGAAATGGAACTAAATAAATGCTCAAATTAGTCACCCAGCTTCACCGATCAACTTCATAGCACTCAACCGAAGAATAAAAACTATCAATTCATAGTTCCGGAAACTGCACCCGAATTCATGTGTGCAGTGCCTTTTGGCAGAACGTGTTGCACGTCAATAAACTGCCGTTAGTAGCGGTATAAAAAAAAGAGGCTGATCAATACCTTTGCTTTGAAACGAACGTCGAATTACACTACGGTTTTTCACCAGTGTATTAACTTGTACCGTTTTAAATACTTCGACTTAAAATACGCTTTCAATTGCAAGAGGTGACAATAGCTAGTCGTCTACTTTTCCTTTTGCTTAGGATTCTTTTCAGTATGAAATTTTATTTTTAAACCAGTCTCGGTGTCGTGGGCTATTTATTGAAATAGCTAGTCAAGATTATTTATATCATTTATATATTTATTTTTGCTATACCAATAACTACTTTCCGAATTAGTATGGTGGCATACTTCAGGTATGTCGCCTGGATGGACACTGGATGGGTGAGGGCGTAACTTATATCGAGCACGGGCACTATATAGTCGGATTCCCCAATGAGAATCAAATAACCATACACAAACGAGGCATTAATGCCGGCCTCGGCCGCGTTCTCATCATGTCTAACGCTACACAGAACATACTCTCTGTGTAGCTACTACAGCGTCACAGTTATGGTGTGTACTTCTCATCTAAATCGGACACGACACACCCAACCGAGTGTCTCATTCAGCACGTCGGTAAAACTATTACACGTGCACAAAGTGCTGATCGCCTATCAATACACTTACACTGGCAGACTGGTATACAATGCTTGGCCATGTACATCCAGACGTCACACGTGGCGTTCTACGCAACAGTGATATAACACCGTCTCCAATACCAGTCCCATCTCATGACGACTGAAAGCTCAATCTTGCGCTGTTTCAAGCACATGTGGCGGAATATTTTTTGAAAGGTTGATATCGACCTTTTTGCTACTGCCCACAACACACAAGACCTCACATATTGCAGTCATGAACCAAAGGCACCTCTCCGTGATGCCTTCGCACAGTCCTGGCGTGACAAAAATCTGTATGGTATCATTCGATTCAGGAAGAAAGCATGGTGCGTGGCACTACTCAAGCTAGAACATAAAAACTAGTTTTCCTCTCTCACCTGACACGTGGAATCTTAAACAAACCCTTCCACAACTACATTCACACGTAAAAATCATCCGCACCAACGAGAACACCATTTTGCGACACAGCATAGAAGTTTCAAGTGGCGCTATATATGCATCGTACGTGTAGGCAACACCAAACACGCTGTGCCACCGACTACTGAACTATTTACCGAAGCCGATGTCATCACCCATCCTCGACCGCTCAGTTTTTCTTCCCCATCACTACGAGCAAAGTGCGTCGCCGGCACAAATCACGAAAAAAAGACTCGACAAGACACACATTTCACCAATTGGTTATGTCTTCCATGTAGATTTATTAAATGGCCTTTCTATAACTCCTAGTGGATACACGTCCAACATCAAATACGTTGATGCCCAGTCATGAATGCCCTTTGTTATCCTCTCAAACACAAGGATGATGCAGCCAGTACACTGGACCAGCTATACACCCAGCTCAGGTGTGACCGAGTTCCAAAGAATGAACACACAATGTCACGTGAAATCACGTTTACACTAACAAAGTCACCCGCACTACTGGTTATTGAGCGCACCAACGGTATCATTAGAAACCACGCTAAACAACCCGAATGTATGTGGGCCAAAGCCATGCAACTCGCAACAAATACTAAAGCGGTCCAGCTTAACAAAATTTGTGGGAACTGTTCTACGACGAAAAGCCTAAATACATCTTAAGAACATACATGTGTACGGCTGTCGGGTGGCGTTCGTGTACCAAGACCAGCAGGGGCAAACTCGAAGACCGAGCAACGCCCGGCGTTTACCTTGGCCATGATCGCTCCTTCAAATACTATGACGCCTGCCGCATTCCTAGCTTCAAATCTTTCGCGTGATGTTAAGTTTAACTACCAGTTCTTTCCGACGCGGACCATGGCCGGCACAGCACTGGTGCTACTCTTACACGCACCCATTTATGACGTCCCGCCATACGTGCGCTCACACTTGCTTTGCAACCCCAGCCCACTACAACGCCCAGTACACTACTTCTTCCCACGTCATCCGTCCCTACCATTTCACCACAACCGAACACTGCCAACATATACATGGCCGATCATTCCAGCCCAGCCACACTACTGCCTACACCAACCACGGAGCCTGCACCAACCACCGACAGTACACCAATTGTGCACACACCACTTAACACCTCCCCACATAACTCTCTACTTCCTACACCTTCTCCACCGCCACTACCACAGGCCACTACATCCATAGGAGTCACGCACACTTGAGGGTTTTTTCAATCGCCTCGTACCAATACAGGCAAAAACAAGAACCTCCTCTACCAAGCAGCATGCGCTTCACTCGACAACGCACTCATCAGCTACACGCTTACAATGCGACATATCAACACGGTCAACAACACAACCTTCTACATCCACTATACCAGGGGAGTCAATCACCACACCGACCCATATCACAGACCTACTGCGACCAGGGGAGCAGCACTCTACACCACCTGAGGTGTCTTCAGCGCTATCGCTCGGCACATCTCTTCGCGGCAACCAGGAGAGTTTTCCACCACACCAAACACCAAACGATGTCTCGTCCTTTGTCATCTCCGATACCACCCAATCACCCGTCACTAGGGCTGCAGATATCGAAAACATTGACCATCAGCTTCACTCACTTCATTCCACTCTACTCTTCCACCCCATAATGCATATCACGGACAAGGAACTCAGCATGCATGACAAACACGACCGTGTATAAGCCCATGTCAAACGTGCCCACAAGCAAATCAAAGCCGGTAAACAGTACAGACGGGCTGTGCTCCAACATGCTCGAACAGCAACCAGTAAGAATGTCCACAGCCTACAGGACATACAACCGGCACTTGTCCACACAAAAATTGTTAATGAGGATGATCATGCACACGATCTCACTATTCCGATCAACGCATACATACCTTCAATACATAACAAGGACGTGCACACCCAACAAGCACTCTACGATGAAACCGTTCACAAAATTTACAAGGTCTACATATCGCTCGGCACATATCTTCGCGGCAACCAGGGGAGTCTTCCACCACACCAAACACCAAACGATGTCGCGTCCTTCGTCATCCCCGATACCACCCAACCTCCCGTCACTAGGGCTGCAGATATCGAAAACATTGACCATCAGCTTCACTCACTTCATTCCACTCTACTCTTCCACCCCATAATGCATATCACGAACAAGAAACTCATCATGTGTGACAAACACGACCGTGCATTAGCCCATGTCAAACGTGCCCACAAGCAAATCAAAGCCGGTAAACAGTACAGACGGCTGTGCTCTAACGTGCTCGAACAGCAACCAATAAGGCAATGCACAGCCTACAGGCCATACTGGCACTTGTCCACACAAAATTTGGTAATGGGGATGATCCTGCACACGATCTCACTATCCCGATAAACGCACACATACTTTCAATACATGACAAGGACGTACACACCCAACAAGCACTCTACGATGAAACCGTTTACAAAATGTACAGTGTCTACGCTGCCGTCCAATCGAATACATTTACTCCGGCAACCATCCGTGAAACACTTGAAGGTGAAGATGCAGACTTATGGAGTACGCCCTTAAAGTGCGAACTCGACAGCTTGCGCAACGCCGGCACACATGATCTGGCACACCCTAATATCTACCCGATAACGCCTTCACTGTCATTGGTATGTAGGGTTTTAAGGTAAAAATAATTGACTGGTTGGTAATATAAATCGCGTCTATGTGCTCGTGGGATTACACCAACAAAAGGAATTCAACTGCAACGAAACGTATACCCCCACCTGTAGTCACGATACCCTCTAGACAGTTTTCGCCGTCGCCGTATCCGCAGGCTCGCACGTTGAACAGTTCGACGTTGAGAGTGCCTATCCGTATGCTGACCTCGACCAACCGATCTTCATGACACACTCCAAGGGCTCCTCTGTCATAGGCCTCCCAGACGGCCGCATCATGAAGCTCAAGAAAAGTCTCTCTGGGCTGAAACAATCAGGACGCTTGTGGCACGCACCTATCGAGTACAAACTGCTGAACTTGGGTTTTATTCAAGCTACTTCACACCCCTGCCTCTTCGTCGCTAGCTCCTACACCTTGTCATGTGTCCTTACCCTCTACGTCGACGACCTAACCATACGTGGCAAAACAGTCAATGATGTGATCTACAATGGGTAGTAGGTGTCCGTGTATAAACAACTCACGATTATTTTGGTATCGTCCAAAACAATTACATCAAAAAAGAGCTATTCGGCATGATGGATTGCCACCCACCCCTACACAGAAATCACTCTTGACAACACCGGACCTGACTTCAAGTGCAAGTATCGTGAACTCGTCGGCACGTTGCAATACCTCCTGGTGTCCACGCGGATCGATATAGTCTAAACTCTCCACACACTCGCACATAAACAATGCGTCACAACAACACTGGCAAGCTGGTATTTGTATAATTCAGATTCTTAAAGCGACTTTACATCTCGGTTTGACATACCGTTTCCAGCACGGTCATCCCATCGCCGATGCCATTGCTGTTACTGACTATGCAGCATACCTGGACACACGACGATCGACCACCGGATATATCCTTCGTATCAACCGGGTTCCTGTCGCGTGAAAATCAAAGCGTCAACCTACACTGTCGACCAGTACAGTCGGATCCGAATACTTCGCTGCATCAGAAACAGCTAAACTCGTTCAGTGGTTACGCAACATTCTCAGCGAGTCAGTCTTTTCACAGACCAAGCCAACCATTCTTTATTGTGATAGTAAGTCTGCTATCACCCCTTCCATTGGTTCGACCAAATACTTAAAGCATACTGATATTCAGGTTCGTCACATGAAAGAGCTCCACCAAACCGGTATTATACAAGCAGACTATGTCACTTCCTATCACAACCAGGCCGATCTAAAGAACAATACACGGCCAACTCACGACATACCTCTGAACTGCCCACCAACGTCCGACCCGCTACCACCGAGAATCAATCCAGGCGAGACTAAGGGCATCAGCACGCAATTGTATTCTCTATATACTTTGTAAATGATGATTCCAGGGGAGTATCAGCCGTATCAAATTTATATTTAGTCCGGAACAACAAACTGCCAGGTGTCAACAATGTCACCAGTCCAAAATAAACAATGATCCCGCATCCCGTCAAAAGAATGTAAGGTGGTAGAGTACAAATATACACACATAGCAAAGTATTGAGAACCAGCTACTTGCTTCTTAATTACATATATAGACCAGCCATACACAGCAAGCTAGAAGAAGTTTGATTTCACCATGAATGAGTTAAAGCTCTTAGGCAGGTACTAAAATCAAACCCGGACATGGAAGCACTTGGGGACCCTGTCCAATAAGCACCCACCGTTCAAGGATCAATAGACATAATATAGTTTGAAATAGCTGCAACCGCATTCAGCTTAGTACTAGGCGGAGTATTATATCATGTGATACATATCAAACCTTGCTACATACAGTCCTTTATCAGAACTACCAATGTAACACCGTTGAATTTTCCAACCGTGAACAATAAATATTAGCCATTGTGACGGCTTTAACAACTCACCTTTAAAGATTGCCTATGTGGTACTGCTTTCACGTTAATGTGCGACCAAAAATCGCATCAAAATATTAAAAAGATCGAGCCCGACTCCAATTATCAAGTCGGTGGTACGATGAACTTTCACTTTGACAACAAGCATCGGCCAGGAATACATATCTACATACTGCACATATTATTTCGCTTCGTACCAGATTTCAATATGCCTGTAAGAAAATTGTTAGCCTCTGATCGGAAGTGCCACCCGATGCGATTCGATTTAGCACGAAAGGTTACTAGCCCCCCCATATTAAAGTTATGCTTGCTGCATACCATAACGCACAACAACTTAAAGAGCTTCAAACAGTTCCCGAGCGCACTATAATCGGACACTCAATCATCCGTTAAGAGATACATTTCAAATAGAACTCTTCAGACATATTGTGTGGTCCAAGCTACTTTGGCCGCGTATTGCCCAACTACCATATACCGTTAATATAAATGCTACCACTACTTTTTGTTGTCCATTACGGCAATCAAATCAGTGGCCGTTTAACTGATATTTATGATACCGAGTGAACCAAATAGAGAAGTAGATTCTTTCGTATACCAAAGTACCAGAGCAGTTCAAAAAGCAATCTGTCGCATAGGTCCGCCTCGCCTAAAAAAAAATACATTTTAAAATTAAGGGAATCGGAGGTACCACTCATCGTCAACTCGCTGGGCAATAGTTCTAACCTAAAATTAGGTTGGTTGGTTATGTACCGGAAAGATCACGAGTTCGAATCTTGATTTCAATGTCTAGGGTATATTTTGTGATGGGAGCCAATCAACTGGTACTAGACCAGCACTATTGCCCAGCGCAGAAGGTTCAGACAAATTCACCCAGGATTGGTGGTCCCAGCGTGGAAGGTTCAGAGAAATCCGAGATCAATGAACTTCGGTTACACACCGCCAGCCACCATTGCTGTACTATGCAAGTTATTTTAATGATCGACCTAATATACTAGAAATATAAATCAAATCATGGACGGCACAGGACGGCACAATACCCAAAGTCTGTACACACGAAATACGGACCACAACAGATGCGCCAGATGGGATACACCAATTTCTAGCTTGTTCTTTACATAATATATAAATTCAAGGACCATAATTATTTTAAACACTCTTCTTGAAAGGATTGATGAAAGAAATTCCTCGTGTACATGAGCATATAAAGCTAATCGTAGATAAGACAAGGGTTACAAATGAATAAAACACAATGAATACCTTCAAACAAATGTACAGGGGTCTGAGGGCATATCAGCCTAAGATGACACACTAGCGGATTATCATAAAATAAAGCTTATAAATATCATAAAAAATAAAGCTTCAAAATATCGTGGAAGCTACTATAGACGCTAAGCGAAGCGGGACTGAATTTGTGTCGATATTAAATAAAGTATGCCAGCCGTGTAATGACTGTGATCGTACCCAAATCAAGCGTTATGGATTCGCACAATTGGTGAGTGCATGGCGCAGAGCCATCATTGAGTTAGTTGACGTTGTCTATGTCCAACTACACAGGTGACCGCTACATTTGTCATGTGACTCCACGAAACAACAAACGCTCGCAGACTGTGGCACAACTATGTTGAGTGCATGGTGCAGAGCCATCATTGAGTTAGTTGACGTTGTCTATGGCCAACTACACAGACGACCGCTACATTTGTCATGTGACTCCACGAAACAACAAACGCTCGCAGACTGTGGCACAACTATGTTGAGTGCGTGGCGCAGAGCCATCATTGAGTTAGTTGACGGTGTCTGTGGCCAACTATACAGGCGGCCGCTACATTTGTCATGTGACTCCACGAAACAACAAACGCTCGCAGACTGTGGCACAACTATGTTGAGTGCATGGCGCAGAGCCATCATTGAGTTAGTTGACGGTGTCTGTGGCCAACTATACAGGCGGCCGCTACATTCAAGTCTAGCTGACCACCGGTGGCCGGCACTGTTCCCCAGCGCGAAAGGTGCAGAAAAATCCGCCCAGGAGTGGTGACTACAGCGTGGAAAGTTTAGGGAAGTTCACCCATGAGCGGATCGTGCGAACTGAGATCGAGGTATTCGCGACACATTCCTATTTTGTAGTAAATTATGTGAATGATTGAACCAACCAACCTAGTACTA